TTTCTGGTTCCATAGCGTTTTATTAGAGTCTTGAGTTTCTTAAACTGTTTTTAAAGTCAACTTATCGTCAAACCTGCTTGGGTGATTAGCGCAGGTATCTTGCCTGTAACTAAAAATTCCTATTTCGTGCAATTAAAAAAAATGTTAATGATGTCATAATATATTTGCACAAGCCTGAGAGGCTTATTATGACGTTTTTTCGAAAATTGGCCTCACAAATGGCATAACCTAGGGCCCAGTGTATCATATCTACTCTAAATCCGGCCCTGGATGGAAACACTGAGACATGTTTATATGGGTTCTAACCGCCAAATAACCGTTTTTTATTACTATACTCCACCTATTATATATAAATAAGATAAAATACTTGGCCTATAGCGACTCATATTATATCTTCCATGCGCTGTGATTTTAATTCTCCACTAACTAACGCAGGTGCCAGGTGAATCTGTCATGCGATTGAATTATATAGTGACAAAAGCGACTCATAATATATCTTCCATGCGCTGTGATTTTAATTCTCCACTAACTGTCGCAGGTGCCAGGTGAATCTGTCGTGCGATTGAATTATATAGTGACAAAAGACATAGCAACCGAACGTTCGTTTAGTATTCATGTGCATTCGATTTCTAGAACGCGAATTTCACTCTTTGTTGCTCACAGGAGAAAGGGTTTATTAATATCATTTGCCTTGTTCGCTTAAAGCTGACAAAACAAATAGTTTTTTGAATGTTGGTTCTAAATAATTTCTGTTCCGCTATTGTGAAACTGCACCCTACTTTGCCACAATCAGACTCGGCGAAGCAAAACTTTGTTAAATTTTCCGAATCAGCGGTAATTAAGTTTGATAAAGTTTCAAAGGGCAACGGTAAGAATGCGTAAGGGAAACACACCCCTCTCACACCATTACCGGTTCAGCTCAGGTAAATTCGAGAATATTTCAATAAGGTCCGAATGGGATAAAAATATAGAACGGCACTATTGTAAATGCTACGAATTGTTCCCTATAGTCAAAATTGTGACAAATTCCTAGATGCCGATCGTGAGATGCCTTAATCCGTAATGATTTTAAAATTTAAATGGACGAGCAAATTTTAATACAACTTGTGCTGAGCATTGAAGCACAACCGAAGACTATCACTGAAATCTTGTTCAATACCAAGCGTCAGGTTCCATATTTATTTTGATCTAGGCAGAACGACTGGCGTTTGTGAGTTTGTTATTGTTGTCACCATTATGAGCAATCGTCGTCATACTCTGGCGATCTCTATTACGTAATTCTGACTTTTCAGTGACGTAAATTTGGAATGACGTAGTGAGGCGGGAGTCCGAATGACATGTGTAAAATTGTTACCCCACACGCATTAGACAACGCCAATCGATTTGTTTAAGGCTGAACGGGTCTATGAACGCTATTTTGTGGAAACTTTGAAAACGCGGAATAATGGAGTCTTATGGGAGTTTTCGCACTGTTGTTGTACCGGATTGAATAAATCAGCTGTTATACAGGCTAGAATGAAGCTGGAGGGTAGGTTGTGGACCTCAAGCTATGAGCTATTTGAATAAGGAACGAAATTTAGAGTAAAAGAAACTCTTTTGCTTTAAATTCAGCCACAAAGAACAACATTACATTGTTTTTGAAATTTTCTGGCGATATACAGATTTAACACTGTACGATGCCGCCGCAATTACAGTGCAATGTCATATGGACATCCAGCTCAGCTTGCAGCAGAGCAGTTGGGCATGGTAGAGCTTGACAGACAAAGAATTTCTACCCTAAAAAAACAGCCCTCGAAGCGAAATTGGCGGGTAATTTCGTCGTATACAGATCATCTCCCATCTGTGGCATCATGAGAAACGCAATTGTCAAACGATTAATTATGACGATTAGAAAGACCAAATTTACTTCTTGGCGACTCCAACACCTGTATAGTTCTCTTCGGAGACAATTTAATAAACTATAAGTATAATTTGGCAAATATCATAGGATATTAACGTGTTCGGCTAAGATTCTCTTTGAAAACGCGACTTTCAAAATCTTCATACAAAACCTAAAATATTAATGAAATTAAGAGGAGTGTTTTAATAGTTGTGTGCAAAATTTCTATAGGACGTTGTGATAAAGGAGCAGAAACAGTTGCCTTTAACGACAAACATTTGTAGACTAGATGCTAAGAGAGCAGCATTGCTGTCAGTGTTGAATCAGTTGCTTTTATTTTTATACAATTTTGTCTATGTATTTATTATCGCAAGCTTGGTAACATTCAGCAGGGTACGCAAAAACAACCCGGTACTCATATTAATAAAAGTTCCGCTGGTCCTTGGTGGTGTCGGGTATTAGTATGAACTCCTGCAGTATATTCATGTTGGCTTAACGTCATTAAGTACTGTTGCTATAGTTCCTCATTATTATCTCACATTACTTGATCTTAAATGGACTAATACTGCACAGCTAGCTGTAGATTGATGGATAATTCTCGAAAAATCATTGCGTTGGCATTGTACAAAAGACGTTTGTTACCGGCTAAAATTCTGTTACCTATTGATATCCAATATTGATGGAAAACAAAATACAGATTTCAAGCAACACTCGAAGGTCACAACCACAGTCGACGAGGCATCCCAGGATTCAAAGCATGTGACCGGCGCTTACATGGTGTCAGAAACTATTGTGATGACATAAAAATAGCAGGAACAATACCTGAGTTCACATGGGGGAGACCTTTCTTCAAAAAATAAAATAATTTCATCAGATGATTTTGTTTCTGATTCAACAAATGCAGATAGAACCAGAAGTTATGTAACAAAGTTGAATACTGCAACATGTCTATCTTGATACATTTTACTGATTGAAGTTTTATTTGGATATGATTACATGTTATTGACTTTGAATATTTTTTAACGTGAACATCACACAAAGATTAATAGAATTTTTTAAACTTAAAATTGTTTAATCAGAAACTCACTCTAAGGTATTACAAGACAACAGCTGCAATCCCAACAACTAAAAAGATATGCCGGAGAATAAAAAGGAAATCGCGGAATTTATTGCTAAAAAAAGCTTGAAAGAAGGCCATTGATACACGACTTAACTTCACACGCCACTGAAACACAAATTAAAGTAGCTCCTTAAACGTGAACGGCAAAAGATACGCAGTGTTTGTGTGAACCCTATAAGGTTGAGATAGAATATCTTTCACAACTATTTACAAATCATTATTCAACAGAATTTAGGATATTTTGCGATTTTATGTCGCAAATTCATAGTCCAATTATTACTCACAATAGCTATATTAAATGAAAACATACTGACCAAGGTTATCTCTCTCGTTCTGAAAGTGGTAAAAAGGGGTTGCCGGAAAACAATTTAATATGGCGGGAAAAAGTGTATGTAAAGTAACAACAAAATTTAACAAAGTATTTACAAATACTGCAATCGAAATAAGTAAGCTGTAGTACATATTATGAGAGACTATTTGTTAAATCGACCAGCACTATAGATATGCAAAAGAAAGAAAAAAAATCTTTGTTTAGATTAATTTTAAGTCATTTTAGTTGCTAAAAAGGTATTTATAAAAGGTTTGTATGTATTTCTTTAAGATTTCTCACATAGAATACAAGAAACATAGTTCTGGAATGTTAAAAACACTAAAAATATCCCCAGACTGTGTCATAATGAAATTTCAAGCTGTTCTATACCACAAAAAGTCGATCATGGGAGATACCCCGAATATAAACATAAAAATTAAAAAGAAAACATGTGACTTTCATTCAGTTTCCTGGCGTAACCAATCAGAAAATAATAATTAGAAGCCCGGAGCCAACAATGTGTGACACAGTTCTAGTTTTATTGTTCATTCTCAGTATTGAATGACATCACTTTCCACGAAATTATCTGTCAGGATATACAGCGTATAATTTTGTTATCTGAACTCTTTTTTGGAACGATATAATTTATTGGAACCGACGCTCCTTTGCTCGCAACTGACGCTGCATTTCAAGGAACTGACACTCCATTTCTTTGAACCGACGCTCCATTTTTTGGAACCGACGCTCCATCTCATCGTGTGGTCTTGGCATTTCGTTGTGAAATCGCGATGTTTTCATGCTGCGCGTTGTTGTTATGTGCGTTGCGGTCACGCACACTGGGGACATGCTCGCATGTCTTTCCTTTTCTATTATTTGGTCCTCATACATTAATGTATTTTGTAATATTCCCATACCTCCGTATTGTTCCTGCATTTCAGTGTTTTGATCACCCGATGTTCTTTGCAGTCTCTTTATTTCTTGGGATTGATTCTTCATTTCAGTGTTCTGATCGACCAATGTTCTTTGTAGACGATTTACTTCATGAGATTGATTCTGCATTTTAGTGTTTTGATCACTCAATGCTCTTTGTAGACCCTTCACTTCCTTGGATTGATTCTGTATTTTAGTTTCGTGGGCGTTCACTTTGTCAAACAGTAAACCCATTAGTTTGCTTGTACACTGGACATTTTGTTTAATTCTTTTATCGTTACATACGATATTTCGGAGGAAATCATTGGAGATTTTGTCCAAAATAAGCGAGTCAAAAAGATCTGGAAATAGATTTTCTCGTGTGCTTGGGTCTGAGTTGATCCATCGATTCAAAGCATCCCAAATAACCTTGTCACCAAAGCGATAAATTACCTCTGAAGACAAATAGTTCTTTATATATTTTTCATTGAGTTCAAAAAACTCTTTTTCAGTTGAAATTTCGTTAAAATGTTTTTGGGCGAATTCGTCGACTTCTTTTTTGATCTCTATACAATCATATTTCTGTGCCAAAGATTTGATAAAAAAACAATGCTTCAAAGATATGTTCCATTTTCGAGATAAGTTGGTAACAGGACCACGCTTCAAATGTATGTTCCATTTTTTAGACGACTCATTGGTGTTGGTGAATAGGAGTGGAAACACATCGTTTCTTTCTGCCTTCCAACGAATCCATTCGACTATCGAAACGAATTGATCTTTTTTTAAATTTTCTCGTCTATCTTGGTCATGTAAAGTATGACATCGTCCTTGGGGATTTCCATGAAATTTTCTTGCAGGATGATTTCACGAAAATGAGTAGCGATAAAATTATCAACACGCTCCATGACTTTATCAACAGAATATTTTTTTGCCAACTCTTTCACAAAAAGGCAGGTGTTTATTTCAAATTGGTATTCCTCCTTATCAACAGCGTTAAATAAAAATGTATAAGCAAGTTGCTGCTTGCAGTTGTCACAAGATAAAACGTGTTCGTTGTGCCAAATAAAATCTTCGAATTGGGAGATTGTGAAGTGAGAAGCGGGAAAACTGTGCAACACAACGCAAATACTGATCGATTCTTCTTCCGTTTGCTTCCTCGCCCAAGTGCAACAAAATGCCCATAATTTCTCTGCGTCAGCTTCATCAACCTGGTCAATTATCTTAATGATGTCATCTTTGTTTAGGTCACCAATATCTTTGCAGAATAAAATTTCAGATAGGTTTTGTGAAATCAATTTGTAGCAATCTTTTTCTATTTCGTTCAAATCATATAAACTTGCGATTTTCTTAATTCCAATGCATAACGAAAGTGTCAAATGTTTTTTAAGAAATTCACTGCATATTTCAGTTGCTTTATCTAGTTGCCACATGTGAGAAACTTGTAACACGTTTGACACGTTGTCCATGTCAATATTCAGTTCATCTCCGTACATAAAATCAATGCAAGACTTCACCCCTTCTTCTGTGACGCCATTGGTTTTACAGAATCCTTGTTTAGATTCAAGGAAATCGTTCTCAAACATTGCTCGGAAATATTCAGAATGAAAGTCTAACACCCAGCGATGAACTGGAATGGTAGTTTGCCCGACTATAATTCTGAAATCACAGAATTTGTCCCTTTTTACCGCCTTTTCCATGTTGTTTATTGCGGATCAAAACCCGTTCGAAAAATAATATGACAAAGTTTTACGCTTAGTGCTGGAAATGTAAAGTAAATATTAAACAATGACAGAGCAAGTCAATAACTGCATTATGTGACTTGTTAACATCAACGGTCAATGATTCGTGAAACTTTAAACATATTGCCATCACAACCAATGATATGTAACTGAAGAATTTGAAAAGTAATAGTTGAAATAAACAAAATATATATATAATATGCAATCAGAAGTTACACGCGTGTTGAATTTCAAACAGCTTGAATTACGTCACATTTCAAACAAATTTTTGTAAAATCCTGACTAATGTCATTATTTCCTGACTGCCCGATTCAAAAAATCACATCATATTTTTTAGAAATAAACAAACTGAAATAATAAATATCTAAACTTACTAGCTTAAATAAGATCTAAACGGTTATTAATTCAGACGTTTTTTCAAAACCCAATATTAATTCACCGCTGTTTCCTACAAACCTGTCTACGCGACCTGTTTCAGAAAAAAGAGTAATTTTTCAACAGTACGTTGTTTACTCCTTCTTTAGTTTCAAGCGCAAACCACGAAGATCGATGGAATTCCTGAAATACAATGTTCATTCAAGCAACAACCCAAAATAAACCTTCGCACGCGAACTCCTTATTGAGGGAACTTCCTTGTGCGATAAACAAAAGCTTACCTAATATCTATTTTTATCCAATTTAGACCACGTTTAACGCGGGGGAAAATGAGTTGAATCAATGGTTTATCACATGGGCGGTCACAGCTTCTTGACATGACGCAAATTAGTTTTTGACGTTTCAAATACGCACGAACTAAAATATCACAAATATTAAAATTATCCATAACGCAATAAGCTTCATTCAAATATAATTTATGTGAACAAAATATAATGAGCATCGTCTTCAGGTGAATAGGATACGTCCGTGATATGTTTTTGGTTAATATGACCGGTTTGTCCAACTTATCAGCGATTGTTAATATATATAATTGAGCAGTTTCGACTGTTTTCTTTGTATATATACTGAAATATTCAAATCTTATTTGAAGCACATCAGAGTCTTGAGATAATATCGTTAATAATAATAATACATTTCTTGAGATGAATATAAGTATGTTTTATGCAGCGCCGAATTAACCATTAAACAATATAAGCACGTGCTTAGGGCACCAAGCAAAGAGGGGCACCACAGTAATTTTAGAGCAGAATTATATATAGTTTATCGGTGTTTATTAAAATATTATGAGTTCACCAGACGACTCCAACTTCAAAATGATCGCTTATTTTCCGTCTTCAAGTATCATATTACCTCCTCTGTTTTCAAGCGTGGTCCATGTGACAGCGGTGAAGAAACTCAGAGCCGACTTAACGCCAAGCAATCCATTTTGTTTAGCTAGGTCCTGAAATACCAACTTAGACGGACTTGGTTGTTATTTGACGATGGCCCTAAGCTTGCTTACGCTGCAAGATTTTATATTACTCAAATATAACAATTCGTAATAAAATGAGTGTCATAATGAAAGGTGACATGAGGAAAACACGGCGGAAACGTATTTCCTTGCCCATCACACAGTGTCTGATTTGATTTCAAGTAATATCTGTCACGAAATAATATAATTTGAAGCGACATTATACGCGAGATGCGGAAAATACAACGGTAATTCTCGGGGAATAATTTTAAAATAATGAGGGCTTTATATATCTTTTTAAAGCGCCATCCATGCAACATAATAATAGTCTGATTAGAACGGTAAACTCTCGTTGTTTATTAAATTGAAAGTGAGTAAACTCGCGATATTTCGATCACTTTTGGGTTTTCTCCAACTTTCGTCCCGCGAGACCCCCTCAAAAGTTTTTGCGGTCCTCTAACCTAGCAACCTTGAACCGCCCTGAGGTAGACTACTAGGTACCGGTAAAATTTTTAAACTACAGTTGTGATTTGTATCTCTTGGTATTTCGATTCACGTTGAGACTGGAGGCATGAATCTTTATTGTCACAATCCCTCAGGATTAGAACTCAACCGATATATCGGCCCGATATTGCGTGTCTGTCGATATATCATATCGGCAGTAAACGGCCGATATATATATCGGCTATATATAACAATTAAAAAACCTAAAAATGTTCGTAAAAGTTGTTTTATTTGCTGTTGGTTGTGATTTTTTTTTTAATGGATAATACACTTATGTGGTTTATTGGTTTTATGATTAAATTATACATGAGGGGGCACCAAAGTTTTCAGTGCTTAGGGCACCAAAGGGGCATAATCTGCCCCTGGTTTTATGATGAAGGCTTGATAAATTTCTCAGACTCTGCCGCGTCATCTCGCGGAATAGGTTTGTAAGCTCAGTTTTCAGATAATCTTGTTGGCGCGATGGCTTTAGAGCAGGGTTTAGAGTTGCAAGTCATTGGCGGGCCGCACATGTTTTTAGAAAGTTAAAAACCGAACGGATGGCCGATGAATCACTTTTTTCACACAGATCATTAAATAGCGAACTGTTAGCATCATTCCACTGGAAATGCGTTTAATTTTACCAATTATCATTGCCCCATTCGAAAAATCCTCACATTTTTAGAATTAAACAAACTTAAATATAAAATATTCTAACTATTCAAAATAAAAGCTATCAGAATTAAATATTGATCAAAATTTTTTTTAAACCTAATATATATTCACTTCTCTTGTTTCTGACGAATCTGTCTACGCGACCTGTGTCAGAAAACGAGTAATTTTTAACAGTACGTTGTTTACTCCTTTGTTAGTTTCAAGTGCAAACCACAAAGATTAATGGAATTCCTGAAATGCAATGTTCATTCAAGCAATTACCCAAAATAAACCTTCATCAGCGTTAAAATGAAAACTTTCTTGCGCGATAAACAAAGACTACTTTCACAATCTCTGACTTACCTAATATCTATTTTCATCCAATTTAGACGCCGTTTATCGCGGGGTAAAATAAGTTGATTCGGCCGAGTAGCGAGGTGGGTTGGCTTATTGCTATGACGAGAACTAGTTGCTGACGTTTCAAATACGCACAAACTAAAATATCACTAATATTAAAATTATCCATAACGTATTAGACTTCACTCAAATATCATTCGTGTAAACAAAATATTTTAAGCATCGTTTTTCAGGTGAATAGGATACGCCCGTGATATGTTTTTGGGTAATGTGACCCGTTTATCCAACTCATCAGCAATTGTTAATTTAATTCAGCAGTTTTGACAGCTTTCATTGTATATAATGAAATATTCAAATCCTATTTAAAGCACATCAGAGTCTTCGGGTAATATCGTTAACAATAGATTTCTTGAGATGAATATATGTATGTTTTATCACTTTTATGATATAGGCTTGATAAATTATCAGACTCTGCCGCGTCATCTCGCGGAATAGGTTTGTACGCTCTGTTTTTCGGAGAATACTGTTGGCGTAATTAATATGAAGAAGATCTCTGCTACAAATTATACAAGTTCAATAACAATTTATCTGAAATCATTCTTAAATGAAAATATAACTATGTGCTGCCTTCTCGATTTAGTTCAATGTAGTTATTATTACGCGTTTTACGAGCGAGCGAGAGTTTATTTCGTTCGTCAAACCATAAACATATATATGCAAACCTATATAAATATTAATAAGACAAATGCTTAGGTGTATGACTGGGAGGCAACGATACGACCTTTTGGGGTCTTCAGAGTCTTTCGCCCCTCATTCAATTATATGATAAAAGTAGATTTGTCTTGCTGGCGTAAAGAAAGAGCCTGAAGAAGAAGAATGAAATGTCTGTGAATAAATTTGCACAAATGTTGGTCTCAATTAGGCTGAGCTTTGTGCATTAGCCAATACATTACGAATATGCACTTGATAGCAAAATTGATGTACTTGCTCGTTGGAGAATACACATAGTAGGCAGAGTTTTATAATGAATTGGATCAGGCGGACCTAGGAGAAAAAGCTCTCATACCCCAATGTGGCGTAACATTGCTGCTAGTAGTATACAGGCAACACGCATAAACGAGCTCCATCGTGTGGTTGTTCGATATAAAATATTTAATGCTTTAAAACTAAGTTATAGAACATCAATTTTCCAATAAAAGTACCATCAGTTAAAACTTTAATATAAACCTTTTTATTCATAAAGCAATATACACTTATTTAGATTTCAGAACATGTTGACTTGCAACAGCTGCCAAACGAATTTAATACTTTCTGGTTGGCCTATTTTTTGAAAACGAATTTTCAGACCTTTTTATCTTCTTGCGATAATAAGGATGGGATTATGGTATCAATCGCCAAATTGAATGGCTTGTCATATAAGGTTCCATATTTATATTATTTATCCACGGGAAAAGGAAAGCGGATAAGATGTCTTGATCACATGGAGTGCCGCGGCCTCTCGACTGGTTAGGAGTTTATGTCGGGTATGGGATTAGTTAGTCAGTTATTTGTTTACCGATGCATGGACTTGATGATGGAGGATTGACTTGATTCTTTTGCTCATTTGAACCCTTCATTCTGCACATTCATTTCACTTTGCGGGATTAATGCAAAGGGGGATAAATGTAGTTTTTATTCAGCGACTAATAAATTCCCTATAGCGATACACATCTCACCACCAAAATGCTTTAAAAAACGTTTGTCAAGTGTCCCACTGTACCCCACCTGTAGGGCACATTAGGACAGACCCTGAGGCACAATGGGACATCCTGTTTAACAAAGTATGTCCTTAAAATAAACAAGGAATCAGCATTATCATCTGAAGAACGGGGGAATTCCAAATTTCGAAATCATCTAAAATATATGCTTGCACGTAATTGACAAAAATCAATTCCGTAATTACGGCAAAATCAATTACGTAATGACCCCGTAATTGCGATATTTTTCCACGCATTTAAACCTATCATAACAACCAATCGAATCCACTTCTTTTCCGAATGGGACATTGAAGTTGGTTTTTCATATTCTTGGCAGTACT